TCATTTCTACCATGTGACTCCTTTGTATCTTCTCAATGGTGTTGTTAATATCTTGCGTCTTTTGCTAGCCAAATGTTTCTTCAATCTTACACTCAACCCTCTACCCGCCTCTCTCATGTAGCAAACTTGGCAGCTCAAACATTTTAACTGGTTTATCGCACCTGCCTTTGCACAATTTTCCAAATTGCCGTACGGGCCTACGATGCATTCATCTGCTATGCATTCGTAATCGTAAAGTCTATTCTGAACTAGCTGCTTCTTGATGTTATCCTTCGTACTTCAACCAATATCGCATCATTCTGCAGTTCAACTCGTTGGATGCATCGTCTAATTGCTGCGCTAATATCTGATAAGAAAGAGATGCAAAGAAAATTTTATTGTTATTTTGTTTACAGATATAGGTATCGGAACTTGCAAAAGTTCTGCATCTGTACCCATTTGGTACATGTCCGTTACTCTGCGCAATTTGTAATGCCAGCTTTCGTAATTCGAGCTGCTCTTCGTGGTCTGTACATACCCCTGTAGCAGTTTTCATCATATTGCTTATGACCGCTCGATTTGTTGCTGCAGGGTGGAGGTAAAAGGGGAGCGGGGTAGACGGGTGGAGCGTAGCTGACGGGTATAGCGTTGCGTGTAAGAACATTTGGCTAGCAAAAGACGCAGAATAATAACAGCACCGTTGGGAAGACACAAAGCTGAGGTACATGGTGGAAATGACTCTAAAGTCAAATGTACCGTTCTGTCTTACAAGACTAAAATTTACGCTGAAAGATCTTTGAAATCCAAGAAAGAGGGGGCGTGGATGGATACTTACGAAGAATCCTAAAATGAATGTTAAAACAAAGGCGTGTCAACAAAGGGTGATCTTTTGCCGTTCATACCGCTATGCAAACTGAACAGCAGCACGTACATGTTCTTGACTCACTGGGTGACACTCAGTGACGTGAGCTATTGTCCCGTTGTGCGGACTTACTGGTATGCGGTGGAGATAAATTTGGCTCATTTCACAACTTTGATGGTTTCCCGCTGGCTGCTATCCTCCGATAAGGTCTAGACTAGCACTTTCGGAGAAGGCTCTTGGCGGCGTATTGGCCAGATACAAAAACCTATAATTCACGTTTAAACTACTTTGAAAAAACGAGCACTTTGAAACGTCGTCGAATAAACATCCACCAAGAAAACCTGGTTTCAGCACAGCAATCAGCTACTGATTGTGTTCACTTTTCGCGCGTTTTGGCAAAGTACCTGCAGGACAACAAACTTTCTTCTCTACATGCTCATCCGCACATACATCATGGGCATGACAGTAAAGGAGTTGGTAGCAGGAGATGACTAAACTACTCACAGCCCACTTCTTGAGCTTTTAGTGCCAGCGACTAGTCTCCTCATTTTCTCTAAGAAAGCACTCTGATCGGAGGACAATGCTGCATCTCTAGAATAAAATTTAAACTAATGTAAACTTCATTATCATCTCGGGCACATAAAAAATTTTTACCTGCTTTTACCTCTGGCACGGAAGCCCGCGCTGTAATTAGGCAGCTAGGCGAGGCTGTCCAGGCTAGTGCGAGTCAACGAAACTCATTGTCGTGCAACGCTTTACCTCTGTGCTATATTAATTGGATCTTGCTACGTATCTTGCGAGTTCCAGCGTAAACATCCTTCGTCTGTATCAGAAGAGACCCCCACAGCCGTGCTAAACATGGCATCTACGATAGATGCCTTTATTCGTGCCGGATGTGTTGAAGAACGGTGTACCAAGATATTCTTGCTGCTCGGCTTTCGGTAGCATCGGTCTTAAAACGTCTCTTTGACAAACATAACCGTACATTAAGGAACGGCAACCATCCATCCTTGAATTTTTCCTTCGTTATCTTGAAGTTGGCGTCCTGGTCATTCAAAATATTGGAGCATTTATCAAGTTTGGCCTGAGTGGGACACACGATACAGCAGTTGCCCACATACCGACGTAGAGTACAGGTTTACTTGCCAGTACCGGGGCTTCCACCTTAACATGGAAACAACCGCTGAAGTCAGCGCTAGTCTTTGTCCCATATCCAGTCCTCTTATTTGCCTGTAATAGTTGCCAAGACGAAAGATGGAGCAGTTGAGGCAATCTTCAACCAACGACAAGATGCCTGTAATGCTAAGACTGTAAAGATTAAGTAACCACTGCTGTTTTAAAAGAAGTTTGAATGCTTTCATTGCGGCGTCGTTGAAAACGTTGGTATAGAGGTTCCACAACGGAGGATTTCAAAACGCACCCTTGCCTTACACTTTTGCTGCGCAGGCGATCAAGAAGCACTTTGTGAACGATATGCGGGAAGAAATCTGAGCATTGAAGAAGGATGTTAACGAGAAACCACGAGATCCTATCCTTAGGACCTCAAACGCTGCCGATGATAGGCCTGACCTCAAAATCCTGCGAGTTATTGGACGTCAAACTATCTCTGCGGACACCTTTTGTGTCTTGAGAAGAATGTAGAGAACCGGATACATAGGCGGATCGGTGTTTAGACGTGTAGCCAGCCATAGCCCTCGGAATGCCTTCAGCTTTAGCTACCTTTATCATACCCTGTTTGAGCGGCGGTACTGCTTTCTGAAATCGTTTGCTGCCACAGGTTCGTATACGGTAGTACCTGTAAGATGATGTTACGTGATAGCCATGTTCAGATCACGAAAGAGATCTACAAACTCTCCTCCTTGTAGTTGACCGACACAAGGTCGCGAATTTCACGCAAACCGCGACGTTGCAGAAGTGTTAAATCACTATTTTGCCGTTTTTGGCGGAGTTGGTTGAGAACTGAGAAGAGCCCGGTAGGAAATATCCAAAACTTCGAAACTTGGCATCCACTGGTTTCCACTGGTTGATTAGGCTCCTGCGGCTTTTAAACTAAACGTGGAAAAGGTCTAACTAATCATTTTTCTTTCCAGCCGTTTCTCCGTTTCTTAGATTTTCACGCTCGTTGGCTCGCTGACTATCTTTTCACATCAAAATGCCGAAAATCCTACGCGATACTCGAAATTCTGCTGATTGACTAGGTGCGAAACAAGGATTAAGATCCACTAACAATAGCGCATTATCGAAAATGAGTGCATTGCAAATACCGAGACCCGTAATCGACTAGGAGTATTAGTGAGAGTAGAAGCAGTACAGTTTTGACATTCGTAACCATAACTGGTTGCCTACACTTCAATTCTTGAAGATGATTTTCCGATGCAAGAAACAAAACCCGATGTTCATCGTCTTTAGTGAGCAACTATCATTCGTTATAGAGTGGCAGAGCGAAGACGCACTCTAGTCGCAGTCGCACTATTTATATAATGATTATGATCGTGTAAACAAAGAGTCCCAAGAAGATGTGCACACTGTTTGATCGTGATAACTCTCTTCCTTTCACGTCTTTTGCCAAGCTTGAAGACCACTCTGGCGAGGTCCAACTTAGATTTACACTATGAAGCGAATCACTAATCGCTCTTCATTGCTGGAGGATTACGATATGAACTTTCAGCATACAGCATCACCGTGGAATAGGCTTTTTGACGAAATAATTTCAAAAAATCTGAAAATTTGGCAAGGTATTCAAGCTAATTTTACTACATGAGTTTTCATTTTTTTTGAGTTTTTCGAGCTTTCTTGATGGCGTATTCGCATTTCTGATGAACACTGGAAAAACAGTTATTACCCACAGTTATTACCCTAATTTGAATTAACTTATGAAAGAAGCGCTATACTGAAGTGCAAATTCCATATTTAGAGTCAACGACATCGACTGGTCCAGTACAGGAGAATTTGGCTTGTTTGGTTTTCCTTCCAAAGAAAAATCGGCAAAAAATTGCTTTCAATGGCTTAAATTTTTCTCCGAAGTTTCCACTGTAATCTTACAGTAATGAAGAGCAATCCGTCATTCGCTCCACACTGCAAATCTAAGTTAAATTCCGGTCTACAAAAAGGCGCCTCAAGCTCGCAAAAGACATGGAAGCTGGAGAGTTATTAACGATCAAACAGTGTGCACGTCTTTTTGGGACATCCTGTATAAAACCTAACCTTGAAACACATACCGTTCGCTCTGAAACCTTCACGTTTCCAAATCTGATCGATCCTCCCGTTTTATTGACGTGCCCTTCTCTTAATCTGCCGACCATAACAAATCGAGTTCATCTTCTGCGCTAACAATTTCTTCGTCGCTTTCGTTCTCCAGATTGCCATAGGAGGCGCGCAGAAAGTACGATAAACTCTTAATTATGGGGTTTCCCTGAAGGGCGATCGAGTAGCTCGCACGAGCCAAACTTTCTAAGGGGATGCGAGATTACTAACTGAGGAGAGAACATCATTTCAATAAAATATTAGAAGCGACGCCATAATTGACAAGTCATCTGAGTCTTTACATGTCAAGCAGGGTATTGCAAATTTTCAAACCATATTTCAAATCCTGTCAAAGCAGAAAACACTTGCTTATCAGTGACAAAGTAATCCTCTGCTTACGATGTGTTTTTTTACTGCCCATTTTACAAAAGTCGACATATCTTTGATGTCGACAAGTTTTGCATATTGTCTGCTAAAACTTGCAGAAAAGCAAAACGATGGCATCCCAAGAGAACCAAATCTACGGCATGCACATCCGCAGTCCAAGGCACTATCCATTGCACCAGTCAGCGTACTCGAAGGCATTTTCGAGCTACCAGAAAATCTCCATAACCTTGAATAACATTATCGCAAATATGGAATGGTTCAGATTTGGCCATCCAGAGACTTATAGGATATACATCGCGCAGCAAATTGTCACCTTAAGAGGGGATCGTTCCCTTGTAAGTCGCAGTACATCCAGGAGCTGAGTATATCCCTGAAGTCAAATATGTCGACCCTGAGGGCAAGATAGGGTACGCATTGTCGCGTAAAACCTGCGAATGTAAAGAAAGCTTGATCAACAATTCCAGAACTTCTCTCACTCGTTTATTTTCCTCTGAAATAAAGAATCTCCAAGTCAGTTTACTTCAACATTCAGATTTTGGGGCAATAGAGCAACAGCGTCAAATATCGTCAAGCATGAAAACTTTCGCGGAAAGTTTACTTGCCTTGGTAAGTTTTAACTTCTTTTTCAGTAGAAAGACTCGTGTGGAAACATGAATGGATCTGAAGTCCATCACCAAAATCACAAAGCGTAAATCTGTTTCTTAAAAATAATTTCTTTTAAGGTTTCGAAGACTAAAAAACCTTTCTTGTTTTGTTTCGTCGAGCGACTTGTTAATATGACTCTAACTAACCAGAGCAAAGACAAATATGTTGATCTGGCTGTGAACGTCTTTCTATAGTACGAAACATGCATTTCTCAAATTTATTGACTTTGCTTATTGAAATCATGCCGAATCGCGGAAAGGTTCATAGCACAAGACATTTTGTCACTTTTGGTGACTTTCCTCGTACTGAGTTAAGCCGAGTCGCGGAAAGAATCCCTATATCTCAAAAAGCAGTACTTACTAAAGACAAAACTGAAATCAATACATCGACCTTGCACTGAGGATATGCGCTACACCTAAGAATGCCAAATCGAATGAGCAACCTGCATTTGTAATCAAAACACATGCTGATATGTACAGTGCTCTACGCATACATTGTCTTACAATGTATGCCACCTCCAACGATTGTCTGAGCACGGGCTTAAACAAAAGTTGCGCAAGCGCATTGGCAGATAGGATATGAAACTCTGATATAGTCTCAAAATTGGCTTTGACCTTTCATGATTTGCAGTCTGAAGAGCAATGACGAGATGGGGGGGAGGGACAGCCAACATCAACGATAGTTTGTGCCAGCCATATGCATTACTAGGTAAATATTTTTTCGAATGCTATATTTAAGCTATGATGATACTCAAGAATTTGGAAAAAAAGCTGGGGGCTCAAGCTGTATATCGCTTTTGCTGAAAGGAAAGGGGATATTATTTTGCAGAGTTTGAGGCGGAGCCTCGGAAAAAATTGCAGAGAAATGCATCGACATTCTAATACATAATGAAAACTAATGTCATATTATCTTGATTGTTTCCTTAGTAAAACTTCATTTAGTGCCATTGCAAACACGATTTTTGATTAATTTGAAGTAAAGTGTAGTGGTCTCGCACGACAAAGTCGTATGGCACATGAGCTCTGTCGACATTGATGATAGAAATTTTTTGCTCTAAATTGCTGAATTGAGTCTTCAGAAAATAGCAGAAACATCATATAATGTGTTACATGAAGCCTCTTCACGCTCTCGTTCATTATACATGGAGCCGAAATCGAAAGGAGTTGAGCTTGACTTCACCATCACTTTTGGTTTATTTTGATTACCCATTACTTCCGCCTACTCTCCTCCAAAAGATCACAAAGGTTGAAGAAATATGCAACACAAACAAAGTCTGATTGCAAAATGCCCTTCCAAACATGTACATAAGTTTCACCACGTTAAGGATGGAAATGCAGATGGCATGCTAAGTCTAGATTTGGCCGCCGGCATGCCACTGACATGTCGACAGCGATGTGCCGGCAGCATACCAGCGCGCGAATAAATTGTGCCAAAAACAAGCGAAAGCCTTATTTACAAACAACACGCAATCGTATGATACCAAAACTGGTGTGTGCATGCGCAGTGGGGGACCCGAACTATGGCCTAAAAGTGAGAACTTATAACATGAAAGTGATGAACTTTTTTCTGATTAGCTGGCACCTGCCAGCTGGGTGCCAGCTGAGTTGCCACCGACCCTTTACTCACATAAGTTTTCATAATTTTTTTAACATAAATTGTAACTATACCGTAAAAGCTTACAAACGGAGAATAAACGATTCTAAAATGTTTTCTTTTCGGCGTTTTATAGCCATCTCAAAATTTCCCGGTCTGCTCTGCAGTCGGATTAACATCAAATTTCAAAACACACAAATCTTTTGCAACATGACATTTATTGAATCTTAATCGATGATTAGTGGTTGGATTGTTCGATTTGCTAACGTTTTCGGCCACTCAATCAAGTAGACCTTTTTCACACAACCTAAACACAAACAAGACCGGGTAGGTGTCCAGGCACTGCAGACCTAAACGATTCTGTCTGAAGATGGCTCTTGCACGTTCAAGTGCCAGCCCGAATCTGACTGGATTACGATCTGACGGAAACACCTATCCGAATGGGAAATTGATACATACCGCGCCACTCTAGAGGGTACGGGGGTTTCCTCTTTCGTTTGCTTGTGCTCTGACCGTGATTAACAGGCTTTCATCGAGTGAATTCGACAAATTTTGTGACAAATAGCGAGGACTTGCATTAAATTTGAGTTGGCACCCTAAATACCGACAAGATGTTTATTATCACCTATTTCGAACAACATGTGAGAATTGTCGATTATTCTTGTTTTTTTAACTCAAGCTGATCTGCAGAAATTCGATTTAAGGAAGAGAGGCAGGGCTTAATGAACTTGCTGAGTACAAATTATACCCTCAATAGTTCAAAAATTCGCGAACATTCCCGCAGAGCACTATAAAAAACGCAATCTTGCAGTTTTACTAACTATTTCCTATATAAGATCGAGGAGATTGCTTGCGTTCTACATAAAAGCAATATGCAAAATGTTGACTTTTTGCATAAGCTTTCATGCGCCTCTCAAACAAAGGTAACCTCTTTCATGCGCATATGCACAACAAACTTAACGGCATATCATTCATTGTCTGTTTGTTAGGAGCAGCTCATTTGCCTGTTTGGTGAGTAATTTTGAACTCCCGCTCTGCGTGTCATGTCAAATTGTGTTAGTAGTGGCCCCTGGCATAACTTTTAATAAACGATGATGTTCAAAAGAAGCAATTTAAACTTTGCGTGTTTTTTTGTAGATTTTCGTATTCAGCCCCAAAATTCAAAAAGTGGTATAACCTGCGGCTTCTTCCTCATGAACGATATTAAACTTGCCTTAGCGCCAGCCGCGCCGAGTTTTCTCTGATAATGTAAAATGCGTCAGATTGATTCTAAAAATACAAATGCGTTGCAATACACAATACATTGTTGATGAAGGTTCAATACAACTATGGTATAACGAATGAATTTTTAGATTCTTGCTGCTGCTTCAACCTCTAAAGGACAGTTTTCAGAAAGTTAGGAATTTATCATCTACATTTTAAGTACTCACGGAACCGTTCACTTTAGATCGACTCTGCTGGAATCCGACGATGAGTGACACTTATCGAAGAATTTTTCTCAATTTTCACAACGAGAAACGTCTCAATGTTGCACTTGGCCGCGAGCCGAATTTGAATGGAATGCTCAATTCGGCAAGAGAGATGTATTTTCTAGTAGGTACAATATCCATTTAATTAGCATAATTAGCCTTATGTACTGGACATATGCCCAAAGTAGCCTTTCTCGCGTAAGCGGAATAGTCTGTGTCAACGATGTGCTCCCTTTTCGTTCAGCTCAAGCGCAACAGCAGTGACCCGTACTGCACTCGCGGGAGAACCATTTCGTCGAAATTTGCCATTGATCGGAGATCGCTACGCAATGCCCACCCACGCGGCGCGGATGCTCAGCTATTAAGGGAGAAGGGAGCACTCAATTAACACAGATTGTATGTACAGAAATTGACTCTCAGACACGCACTCTCAAATGTTTTTCAAGGGTGAATGCAAAGAAGCACAGTCTTGTCTGTGATTACTGCCGTCAACCTCATCTGGCGTTCATATCAAATATTGCTCAAGAAGCTCGCAAACCATCATATTTCAATTAAGCTGAATAGGTAATCATTGAAAAATTAGTAGTGAGTCAGGCCACTACTATTTTATCTGGTCAAATCGGGTGAGGAAGTCTGAGTCTATCGAAAGATTTACCACCACGTAGTCAGCAGAGGTCATGGGAGGTCATGTATTGCCAAAAACGCTGATTTGCACTCAATCTTCACCGAAAACAAAGTGTTCTGCTGATTGTAACCACGCCCTTATCCTACAATGTACGGAGGTTTTATAAAAATGTTGTATTCGAACTTTAGTAGCGAATTTTGTTCGAGTGGGGCAGAACTTTGCATAGTGGTATTTCGTGATGTTTCCGAACACGATGGTCTGTTGGAAACCTTGAAACTATTCTCTTCTTGAATTTCAAATACTTTATTAATTTTCCGGCAAAAATTTCAAAATCGTCATGTAGGAGTTCCGACAGATATTCCGAAGATGCTGGTGGTTTTGCTTGTAATTTTGGATTTTCTTCTTCAATTCAGTTTCGTTCAGAAAATAGATAATTTGGATTTCGACTAAGTTGTCTTGTTCCATTGATTTTCCAAACTGAAAAGTCAAATTTCAAATTATTTCAAAAACATCGCAAATCTGAAACTGACTTCAACATTGGGTGAAAATCCTGCTTGCTTGAGAAAAACCAGCTTGAACTAGATAAAATATCAGTCGTGCCAAGACCCTCAACATGACAGAATCCCTCACCTCTAAATACAAGCTCTAACCTTAATCGGACGAAAGTCTCTATTAGAATTTGGACCAAAATTCTCCATAAACCGGTTTCATACATTGTAAAGAGGGCCTATGTGAGCAGAATCAACTCGAAACTCGTCTGCGGTGCAAAATAGCGCTAATCAGCGTTGTTGACAGTTTATGACTCTAATGACCTCTGCTAACTATGTCGCGGTTTCTGGGTTACTTAGGCTTGATTCCCCTTCAAGCATGACAGAGTTGAGTGAACTGTATAGCAACAAAATTAAAAGATGCAGCACCAACTTGAAGCACTAAGTTAGCGACAGAGAGGTGTGCGGTTCTTTACATTTACCTATCCTTCCACTGAGAGTGATTTTAAAGGTAGCGTCCAGGCAAATCTGGGCATATGGCGATCTCACGTGGATAGTAATTTTGGGGCCCTAACTAAGCCAATGCCCGACCTGCAGCTCAGGTAGTGCTCTAAAGGCGCAAAATTCCCCTCGAAGCTGGACCTCAGGATCGTACTTCGCGTGGATTCACGGCGCAACCCATCAGTTTCGCGTGAGTCCTTGCGCGAAATTGATGAGTTGCGCCTAGAAGCCATGCGAAATACGATCCTGGGGTCTAATTTGGAAGAGCATAGTAACGCTTCCTTTACGGTCGCATATTCTGCGCGGGCAGCAATGCAGCATTTTCTGCAAGTGCTCGGCAAATAAGTCTTTCAGTGAGCGCTGGTCGAACTTTCAGCAAGCGCTCTGATTCTTGTCACGCCGCTTCGGGCCTACGCCAAGCAAAGATTAGACGTTACATCACAAGGTGTCGTCGATGATTATCCGAGTTTGGGGAGCGGTTCTTCACAAAGGACCGTGCGGCTTCCCTCAATTTTGCATATTTTCGCGAAAAGTCCGCGAAAATGCGGCCGCTGGGCCGCAATCTTATATATAAAGCTGAATGTCTGTTTGTATGTCTGTATGTCTGTCTGTATGTCTGTCTGTATGTCTGTATGTACGTATGTTCCGAATAGAAAATTCCATTTCTGAACCGATCGGGACCAAACTTGGCACACATACACTTTGGGCCCCGGCGAGTGTCATAGGCTACTTTTCGTCATCGATCGATATCGATTTTATCGATTTTTATCGATTTTTTTGCTGAGTTCACCTACGGGGCTGGGAGTTGGCACAGGGGGGTAATCGAGCATGGGGATTCCGAATACAATATTGGTTTTCAGGATTATCGATTACTTTTATCGATTTTATCGATTTTTTTGCAAAGTTTGAGCTACGGGGGTGGGAGTTGGCACAGGGGGGTAATCGAGCATGGGGATTCCGAATACAATATTGGTTTTCAGGATTATCGATTACTTTTATCGATTTTATCGATTTTTTTGCAAAGTTTGAGCTACGGGGCTGAGAGTTCGCACAGGGGGGTAGTCGAGCATGGGGATTCCGAATACAATATTGGTTTTCGGGATTATCGGTTACTTTTATCGATTTTATCGATTTTTTTGCAAAGTTTGAGCTAGGGGGCTGGGAGTTGGCGCAGGGGGGTAATCGAGCATGCTGATCATCCCCAAGGGGGGTGATCAGCATGCTCGATTACACCCCTGTGCCAAATTCCAGCCCCCTAGCTCAAATTTTCAAAAAATCGATAAAATCGATAAAAGTAATGGACGATCTTGAAAACTAATATTGTATTCGTAATCTGCATGCTCGATTACTCCCCTGTGCAAACTCCCAGCCCCGCAGGTCAAACTTTACAAAAAAAATCGATAAAATCGATAAAAGTAATGGACGATCCTGAAAACTAATATTGTGTTCGTAATCAGCATGCTCGATTACCCCCCTGTGCAAACTCCCAGCCCCGCAGGTCAAAATTTACAAAAAAATCGATAAAATCAATAAAAGTAATCGATAATTCTGAAAACTAATATTGTGTTCGGAATCCCCATGCTCACTTCCCCCCTGTGCCAACTCCTAGCCCTGTAGGTGAACTCTGCAAAAAAGATCGATAAAAATCGGTATAATCGACATCGATCGATAACGAAAAGTGGACTGTGACACCCGCCGGGGCCCGAAGTGTATGTGTGCAAAGTTTGGTCCGGATCGGTTCAGAAATGGAATTTTCTATTTGGAACATACGTACACGGGTCTAGCTGGCAGGCCCGGCGGAGCCGGGCAAGCCAGCTAGTTTATCCATAAAAAGACCGCAATAGTTCCTCGTGCGTTCGTCTAAAAATTGGCCAAAATTATCCCAAATTTCTGCAAGGGGACCGCAAAAAATTAGCTAACTAATTTTCCGGTGCCCGCTCGTCCATAAATCGCATGGCCGCCTGAACCCGGCGATTATCTGAGCACTTAAAATGTTTCGCCTACTTCGGGTCAAAGACTGTATATTCAGTCGCTAGTAAGTCACCTGCGCTGTCGCTTAGGCAGTGCCTTAGTTGAGACCCCAAAAATACTTTCCACGTAAAATCCTCATTTGGTCCAGATTTGTCTGAACGCTGCCTTTAAAAGACGAACATTCAATGTTATTAGATATTTGAACGATAAGGATAGTACAAATGTGTTCGCCTAGGGGTGGGACTGTGACTTGGAGAACAAAGCGCAGATCGCAACCGATTGCTCAGGCTTTGTTCCACGTTTCCCCAACATTGCGGTGAACCACATGAAAACGGAGTGAGTCTCTATCTCAAAATGTTGTCTATCTGCAATTTGCTTTCAAACTCGCAAAGCTGAAGCACATCAACAAATGCTGTTTGAATTTCACAAATTTCAGCGCTAAAAAGGCTATGAGGATGCCGAAATGTATAATCTTGTGTCAAAAGTGGTTTCAAGTATGCAGAGATGTACAAAGCCATAATAGTTGACAATGTCTGTAATATACACACTAATACAGTGCTGGACAAAATTATAAATCCACTCTAAAAAGTGCCATAACTCACTCTGTTGCCAATAAAATGTTTCAAATTTTGGTACAGCCGTGTGTTTACCAGCCTACTATTAGTCATCAAAATGGGTTTCGTTTTCGTTTGGTTATTCAAGAAAAAATTGAAAATTTTGAAAAAAGCAGGCTTGAAGGCTGGACAAAATTATCGATCCACCAGTTTTTACTGATTAGAAGCACTTCTTAGCTTCCGAATTTCTTTAGGTAGGTACACATCCGAAAACGTTAAACAGCTGCTTTAGTCAAGCTGTGTCATACCTCCAAAAAGAAGTGATCATCTGCTTTTTTGCCTTGAAAGTGCTTTCACATGTATTTCGCTCCACAAACCTGCGTTGAGTAAGAAATCCTGCAGTTTCTCAGCTGGATCGGAAGGGACGGGGTTTTATCTATCTTCGGGATGCTTTTTGACCTGAGCATTGAAAAAAATCCGACTTTTTGCTGCTGAAGCAGATCCGACATCGGCTCAATCGGGAGAATAAGCCTCAGTTTCTACCCTAAAACCCTTTACATTGTCATTATAACCTCAAGATATTGTAGAAGCATTCTTTACACAAGAATAAAGCTGTTCGCCATACTCGCAAGTGTCCACAAAAGCTGCCTTGCTTCTTTTTCGAATCATGGGTTGTGTGTGCAACGTAATGATGGTGTTACGCAGATCCAAATTAGCTTGACAGGTGCTACCTCACTTAGATTTTTTGACAGTAAGTATTTAATAAATAGTGGATACAGCTTGTAGTGTATGTTAGTACACGATTCTTCTGAAAATGTTGGTCGGAGCCACAAATAGCTTGATGCTTGTCGTGATCAGTTTCTGCAGGGTGGTTTCAGTAATTATACTCGAATGCTAGCATCTCTAGAAAGTTTTAACCATGGAATACGGACTCCCCTTCGTAGAAACGATGCCTTTGCCTTACTTAGTGCTCCTGAGAACATTGTAAAAGAAGTTTGAAGGCAGAAATTTGAGCTTAGGATTGCAGTATTGTCAACGTCGGATTTGCTTCAGCAGCAGAAAGTCGGATTTTTTCCTCAATGCTCACGTCAAAAAGCAACTAGAAGGTAGACAAAACCTCGTCACTTTCGATCCAGCTGAGAAACTGCAGAATTTCTTACTCAACGCAGGTTTATGGAGCGAAATACGTGTGAAAGCATTTTCAAGGCAAAAAAGCAGATGATCAGTTCTTTTTGGAGGTATGACACAGCTTGACTAAAGCAGTTGTTCAACGTTTTTGGATGTGTACCCACCTAAAAAAAATTCGGGAGCTAAGAAGCGCTTTAATCAGTAAAAACTCCAGGTGGACCTATAACTTTGTCCAGCCTTCAAGCCTGCTTTTTTCAAAATTTTCAATTTTTCTTGAATAACCAAATGAAAACGAGACCCATTTTGATGACTAATAGTAGGCTGGTAAACACATGGCTGTACCAAAATTCGGAACATTTTATTGACAACAGAGTGAGTTATGGCACTTTTTAGAGTGGACCTATAATCTTGTCCAGCACTGTAAAATACAATACCGCTCATAATTCGTCAAAAAAGTCGCCGGACTGCGTCGCACTTTGCCAGAGCGTGCTGCACTGCGCCGGAGTGCGACGCAGTCCACTAGAGTGCAGCGAAGTGCACCGCACATCAATAAAATCTGTCGGAATTCGCGTCGCATCGCCATATCTCGCCTCAGAATGGACGAATTTACATCCGAAGATACAGTTCGGTTCAGTTCGGCGAAACGTATGATACACTTTGTAGAAGTACCACAATCTGTCGATGTACTATAGGTATACGGTAGGCAGTAAGTTTTTGCACAGTTTTGGTTTGATTAGATTAGTCAGTGTGCTGATTACAACATCGCATCGATTTGCTGCTGATGGCACATCGTACGGATAGTGTTAGAGTATGGTAAAGAGTCACTTTGAATTTTGATCGATTTGTTCTAAGTCCAGCTCGGGGTATTTCTGATGCCCTACGGTAACTGCACTCATTTGATGCTCAAGGCACAGTGCCAGGGATCTGCGATGTAAGGTCATTTTGATTGCGTTCGAAACGTTGCTTATTGTTGCCACGTGTTGCTCGTTCTGAAGAGAAAGATCGCATGTCACATTGGTTATCTGAAACGAATTAATATTATTAAATGGCCTTGGTGAGCTGATTCCTAATCTACTTTCCTTATTTGCTGAACAGCTCTCTAGTGAATTTTATAAGCGTCTCCAAAGTCGCAAACAATATCTAGTGAAATTTCTGCACTTTGTAGCGAGTACACACAACATCATTTCCATTTGATCTTTCGAATTGGCCTTCAAAGTAATAAGCAGACGTAGCTCAATGACTCTATACTTTCAACCGCTCATAACTTCTCTCAGAGATTCATTCAGCAGCTAGGAAATGTAGTTATCCTTATTAAGACGCTTTGGATATGCATTTTATTAAGATCGACAGTTGTGGTCTTAAGGTCCTGTTCCATAGTAGTAATATTCATCACTAGCTTGCTTACCCGGCTCCGCTCGGCCCTGTCAAAACACTGTAATAAAAGTCCCATCCCTATAACTGTACAGCAATTCTCTGTGCCCACTTCTACACTTCATTTCCCGTTCCTGTGTTGTTTTCGAAATCTGCATGCCCACTTACCCCCTTCTCTGTGCCAACTCCCAGCTCTGTACCTCAAACTTTGCAAAAAATCGATAAAATCGATAGAAGTAATCGATAATTCTGATAATGTGCAACTGTGCAGACATTAAGGGATGACCAAAGTAACGCGATCAGAACCGATCAAGAAAAAGCTGAGCACTTAAGACGCTATTTTGCATCCGTATTTCGAGCTCCAACAACTGTCTGTTCAAACAATGATTTGCTGCGAGCTAACAGTGGACAAAGACGTTCTTATCTTTCTCAGATTCCACAAGTGTTTCCATGGGAAACAGCTAGCCTTCTGAAGAAATTGAAGTCATCCACGTTTTTGACTACTGATGGTATTCCCCAGCTTGTATTCAAGAAATGTGCCAATCAATTGGCAGTTTCCGTTTCCATACTGATTAATCTCTCTCTGAGCATTGGTGAGCTTCCAAATATATGGAAGCAAGGAAAAGTTGTACCCAGTGCCAAAAATTCAGAACCCGCGTAAAGTTACCGAATTTCGGCCTATAACTATTAACTCTGTTGTTTGTAAAGTTGCTGAGAAGATTATTAGAAGTAAATTATTGGCATGTTGTGCACAGGACCATCTCATACCTGCTGAACAATTTGGACTCATTGCTGGTTCCTCAACTACCCTTCAACTATTGGTATGTGTACATTCTTGGAAAAAAAGCTTCTTCTCAAAACCGAGCCACTGATGTTCTTTATTTTGACTTGTCCAAAGCTTTTGATAGAGTAGGACATTCGCAAATTGATTGAAGAGCTTTTTGGAGTGGAAATTCGTGGCCCTCTTTTGAAATGGCTCTCATCTTATTTGTCTGATAGAACCTTTTCCGTCCGCTGTAATTCTGCTACCTCTTCGATTTTCCCAGCAACAAGTGGTGTGCCACAGGGTAGAGTACTGTCCCCTGTCCTTTTCAATATTTATACAAGCGATCTTCCTAGCCTCCTATCTACCGACAAAGAGTTAAGATTATGGCCTAATAATAATTATGACCATAATATGTTGCACTGGGCAACTAGAAATAATATTGATGTAAACTTAACTAAAAGTGCTTGCTTGACTATCACAAGAAAAAGGGTGTAAAAATGCACTTTTGAAGATTATGGGGACTCTGACACCTCCCTCCCTAGACCTGAACTTATAAGAGACCTCGGAGTTCTGGTGGACCATGACCTTCGACTTAGATCCCATATTGAGAAAATAGCACGTGCGGCCCTGCACAGAATGTTTCTCTTGCTGCGTAACTTGAGGCATGTTCATGAGAATGTTTACATTAGAACGGATGTGGCTTATGTCCTTCCGCATTTAAAATACGCTAGTTAAGTATGGAGTCCATATATAAATAAAGATATTCCGACCTTAGAGAAAGTTCAGATGACATTTACTCGTATCCTGTTTTATAGACTTTTTCCTAATGACAATTACCCTGCTGCCCTTCCATCCTACAGATGCAGGTTGCAACGCTTCAAACTCCATAGCTTGCTTTACCGAAGGGTGGTGGCCGATTTAGTCCCTGCGTTTCAAATCATATGTCTTGAGACCAAGCTTTTGCCCAGTGAACTTTGGGTGTGGAAACCTTGCCATGGACGGACAGGTAGGTTTAACTTTTGTTGTCCTGTAACAGAAACTTCTCAGCTTTCAAATGCGCTTTTTCGCAATTCCTTTTTTGTTCGCACTGCACGCTGGATGCAAAAATTACCAGATTCCGTTTTGTCTTCTGCTGTCTTCAACTCAAAAACCTTTAGAGAAAAACTTTTGAGATGCGATTTTTTGAGTTTGTTAGGGATTGACGAGTCTGATTATTTCTAGATGTTTAAGCCCCTTTTTCTTATTGTTTTTTTCTTTTCGCTTTCCTTGTCCGTGTCCTTCCAGAATATGGCTGAGCTTCTGCTGCCTGCTCGTTTTGGCGGTTGCACTTCTGTCATAGTCTTTACTCTGAAATGCTTGCAAGGGAGTTTAGCTCATTCTTCTTTTTTGGCTGTTTTTCCTCGTTTTCCTATTTCAGATCCGTGCTCTCGGTTGGCCTCATATTTCGACTCTAGTGTTTGAAAACTCACGTTGGGCTGGTGATTCAGTGCATAACTTTGCTTTAGTTCGTTGATAGA